CTCCTTGTACGCGGAATGCAAACCGTCTAACGTGGCTTTACAAATCAACTTAGAATGTCACAACATAATCCCCATACTCTTCTGAACGTGATATAAATTCATGTATTTTGTTCTAATAAGAACTCCATCAAATCCCCAAACTCCTGAAAAGTATTTTTTTTTTTTTTTTTTTTTTTTTTTTATCTACCTCCTTCAGAGTTGAAACGAAAATTTAACCATATGTAGATTGATCCACACCAACTCTACAAGTATCATTCACTATACTACTAGCGAATAGGATCACACTCATGCAATCATTCATCTTCAAGATGTAGTATCCTCTTTCTTGGATACGCTGAAATCTCTTCCCTTAGGATCCTCTTCCCTCATCTCCTTTTTGAGATCAACTGAAGTTATGTTGGCCCAGATATGCGGTGACCTAACACATACACCTTACTCCCTCCTTGGCTTATACTTTCTAAGTAATGCCAACCCCAGAACTAAACCTTCGATCCCAAGTTCTACTTCTGGCAAAGAACTCGATAACGTACTCGTCTCTATCACTTTCGTCTTGGACCCCATCATTTTCCTAATGTCAACCATTCTGTGACTACAGAATATAATTGACATCAGTTCCTCCTACGAGCCGTAGATAGAGTACTACGAATCCTAATATAGGCTCTAAGTTTTAAGAGATGCAACGCGGAAATCATATAACGAAAGACACTCCTAAAGACACTTGAACCTGGAGTGCTCTGATACCAACTATGATACCCCCGAATTTCCAGATGGGGGTTGGCCAGGCCCACGCCCGAAGGTCCAAGGATATCAAAAATAAATGGCAATAATCGAACACAGAATAATACAAATATGATAAATAAGAATAAATAAAATTACTGAAAGAAACTAAAATGATAATCCATTAACAAAATCCTCAGAATAAATTCTTATAAATAAATTCTTCTGATACAAATAATCCTCCAACTTGTACAACTCGGGGAATTCATACACTGTGGACCCCTGGAAAATCAAACTAAACAAATGACAGTAATAACTGTCTACATCAGAAAACTGAAACATTAATGAACTCCTAAGTAAATAATCTGGAAGAGTGAAGTAGATGATCCCTGCTCAACACGAATAATCCCTACTCCTGACGAATACCTGAAAAATGATAGTGGGTCAGGCCCACAAACAAGTTCGACTCTACTACAGTCCAAGCAGAGACCCGATATGTAGATATATCCTAGATAACCCCAACAATAGCTAAATAGTCTATATATGTATATATACACACACTATAAGGCGCTCGATAGCCCAAAAGTTCTGTCTCAGCCTGAATAAAAGGTAACATGCAAATCGCACATCACATGGGCATGTACACCTAGACTTACCACGGAACATTAACTATATCCAGTTATCCATCCTAGGTGATATATGCACCCTAATCATGATCCTGAGACTCAAGCTCATATTATGGTACCATAATCATATATATAATATCCTTCCTAATGTAGAATATAAAAACAAACATCAAATATGTCATTCAACTGTTTTAGTTGACCTAGCATGAGTATATAGGTAGTACTTAACTTTTATAGTTAATCCATTCCCTATTTCAGAATAGGTAGGAGTTAGCATTTTGATCTAATCCATACCTAATAAGCCACCGTCTCATACCGGTGTATATAATCCACAATCAATCCAATAATTGATAAAAAAGATAAAGTAATTCATCAATTTAAAATCCAGAATAACATCCATGTAATTGACAGAACATAATTTAATAATTCATCAATTAAAATCTAGAATAACATCCATGTAATTGACATAACATAATTTAATAGTTTATCAATTAAAATCAAGAATAAGCATGATAAAATCTAATAAGTATATGACCATATTATGTATCCAATACAGATTTAAAAATCATGTCACAGTCCGTTAAATTGTTAAAATAAAATTAAGCAATTATATCCCGTTTATCCGTTAACAGCATGCACAATTGTTTAAACTTTCATACTGTTAAATCCATTAGCATATAGATATTAATTATGTAATATGGGGTTTAATATAACATGAAATAATGTTTAGAATCCTTAATATTAACCCAGGACAGTCCGGGAACCCTAAAAGTATCCAAACAGTGCTCCAAACAACATCCTGTACACGTTTAGGCATGAGAGCAAGCTCTCAAAAGTTGAGTGCTAGCTCTCAACCAATGGGAGCTGGCTCCCCTACCTTGGGAGCTGGCTCTATGACTTAGGGAGCCAGCTCTCTCAATCCATGGAGCTGGCTCTCTCTTTTACAGAGAGCCGTGGCCAAAAATCTTAGGGAGCCTATTTCATTCTCTTGGGAGCCGGCTCTGTCCCTACTTTTTGTCTTCGTCTTCACCTCCGATGACATTAAATAACCCTTTATAATGTTTTTTTTTAAGTTCATAGAGGTCCAACAATGTCCCATATCATTCAGAATTACATATAAACTCAATATGCATCAATACAAGATGTAAAACAGAATATGAAACAATTTGATCAACAATTAAATTTTAATTAATCAACACATAGAATACAGTTTAAAACCTGAATTAACATGCATACTTAATCATTATTAATATCCATTTAGTTCCTGAAGACTACCTAGGCATGCACAGAACACAGGTCAAAGGAAAAGAGCAAGAAATAGAACTTGCCTTTAGGTTTCGAATTGAAACCTTTAACCGTCCTCTGTCTAGAATTTCCGATGACCTCTGATTGTCATCAACTCCTTTGTTGCCCTAGGTTCAACCCACGAGCAAGCCTCAATAGGCTCTCCTTGGTTCAGCCCCTTGTTCCCAGCCAAACCCTAATTGTTCCTCTCAGTTTTCTCTCAGACCTCTCTATAATTCTCTCTGCCTCCACTGCTCCGTGAATAAGGTTCTAAACCCTTGGCAAATACATAAGGTCATATTATATAGGCTTATCAAAACCCTAATTCTATTCATAACCTACGTCTAACAAGTCGGCTAATCATTAAAGAAAATAAAATAAAATAAAAATATAATTACATATACATATACAGCCCTATACGTGCTAACCCAATATATACATATAATTTATAATTATATATATATATATATATATAACCTATTAACATAATATTACTATTATTATCATACAAATAAATAATTAATAATAATAATATTTTATCCTCCTAAACATATACACTCAAGTATATCTACAACCAACCCTGTATGGGTAATTTTCTGTACCCATACGCAACCTCTATTCCAATAGTCCATGAGACCTAACTATTAGTCCATTACTACTAATGAAATCCCTCCTTTTAAAACTAAAATTAAAATAAAACACATATTTAAACAATCAACTAAAAATTACATTTAAATCAACACCACAACAATTAACAAATAAACTCAAACAACAATTAATTTAAAACATGAGCACACACTTATAATTAAACAAGTAATTCATTTAAACACATAACATGATACCACATAAACACATAGCCACGCAAACAAATAAAAATGCATAAGAAATAAAAATTTAAATTCCAATTATATCATTTTGAAAATTAGGGGTATTACAATTTATAAGCTTCTTGGATTAATAGGATGATGACATGTGTCCTCTCTTGGTAAGGATAAAGTCATAACTGGGCCGGGCCGGTTATATTATAATAATTATCCTTAAATATACTTATTCCAAATATATTTTATTGGGAATAATTATCATTTCATTTAATCATCTGGGCTAGGCTAATTAAATAATTTAAGTAGACCAAGCTTGGCCTAATTAAATAACTTAATTAAATATTAGACCCATATTTGATGGGTCCATTTGTCAAAACTAAAGCCCACTAAAATTTTAGTGTCGACACTAGCCCAGACCTACCACGGAGGGAAAAAAAATAAATAAATAGCCATGTTCAAGATCGGGAAGAGTGAGTGTCAGCAACTAGGTAATAAAATGAACCAAAAAAAAGAAGTTAAAGATTAAGGTAGAGAAAGAGTCTTAATGATGATGGTAGTTTCATTAATTAACACTTTTTATTTTGTATATTAATTGAATTAAATAATCAGGGGTAAATATGACATTTGAAATCACAGGGGCTGTCATTGTTAAAAAAGTTGGTGACCTGCATCTGAGTGACATTAACCAAAATATCAGGGGGTGTCAATGCAATTTACCCTATAAAATATTGTGGGCTTTGATGCGACTAAGCGTGTGCATAAAATAATGCATAACACTTTATGTTTAGAAATAATGTCAAGTGGGCATCATATTTTATAATTTATAAATCACTAAACACTTATGTTATGGAGTATGAAGTGAGCAAGGATCGTCCCAAGTGATCTAAACAATTATAGGTTTTTAGAATTGAATTATACTTTAGTGCTTATGTGATTGCTGAAAATGATTTTGTTTTGTGACTAGAACTAATTTAACTTAAGTGAATGCAATAAAATAATGGAGTTTAAAATATTGGAAAGAGACTTAGGGTGCAGGATTCACCACTAAGCACATTCCCTAACTCACTAACTTTCACAAATTTGGGAAATAATTAAATGTAATTCTAATGCAGCTAACATTTTCAAATAAAAATATGAATCATCAATTTCAACCTTGAATTACCTACTTAATGACAATTAAACTAGGTGTAGCATAATTCATCAATCCAAAGCATGACTCTTCAATTCAAGTTACAATTTTAACATACATCAATCAAGAAGGTAATGCAATTGTGACAAAGAGCATGGAATTCAAGCACAAGTATGGATGGTCTACTTACCTAATAATTAAATTGCAATTAAACTAATTAAACTTAAATTAAACTAATTAAATATGAACTTAAAAAATTAATTAGACAATGAATTAACCTAATTGTGTAGTACCATCCATCAACTAAAAGCAATTTCCATCAAATTGAAGCACAACTACAACTAATTATCATCGTGCATAGACATCAAAAGACTCAATTCACAAAGAAATCAAGTGTAAAGGTTGATTAAAAAGAAAAACACATAAGACAACATGAATTTAACATTGATAACCAATTGGAAGAAGTTATTCAATAACATTCAAAGTCTATACAAAAATTACATAATTTACATCCCCAAAATAGTAAAAGATAGAGAAGTTAGGTTACATGCTTAAGGTTTATCCAACCCTAAGTAGAAGAATCAACTACTCATGGTTGATGGTGTTGAAGACAAAACAATCTCCATCTTTGGATTTATCATCTTTGAGCTTTTTCTCAAAACCCTAGCCTGTTCTTGTTTTTTCTCCCTTTCGCGTGTTTTTCCAGAGAGACCGTAATACCACCATACAGAATATAAAACTTAATCCATAAAAAAATAAAAGAAACTCCCTTAAATAAAATACAAACTAACCTTAAACTAATGGTTCACTTGCCTTAAGTAATAAGCCCATCAGAGCCAAATAGGTTACAAAATAAGTCCAAAAGAGTTAATTCTGTAACCCTTAAAATATGTCAATCCCGTAATTGGTCTACTGCCAGGAGCTTGGCGTCTAGACGTAGTGCATTGAAGCCTCACATCCGGATGCGAGGAATGGTGTCCGGACGCAGTGTATTGAAGCCTCGCGTCCGAACACGAGGAATGGCGTCCGGACGTGGCATTTAGCTGCATCCTTGCTTTCTTCTAGAATTTGTCCCGATGCTCTGGCTTGACTCCAAAAGGCCATAATGGACCGTTTTTAGCTCATTTTAACTTTATTGCCGTGAAATACACATAAACATAAATTAGGACTAAAACATGAAAGTAAGATAGATGTAAGGTCTGAAATACCTTAGCTTAGGTGCTGAAATGTGCAACATTTAAGCACTTATCACGCCCCCAAACTTAGATATTACTAGTCCCTAGCAATGCATTACAATATGAAAATGAAACAAACATATATACAACTATGAACTAATAAAGCAAATAAAGATAACACCATTTCCATAGGGTTCACGGTTGCATTTAGCATATGCAATAAGCCTTTTAAACCCCTAGGTTACTCCTAGTGGACGAGTGAAGTCTCGTGAGGGTTTCCAAACATGATACCTACAAACATTGAGTTCTTTCTCACTAAAAAGGCACCAATATACAAAACAAGTATTAGGAGAAAACTAACTCAATTATGCAATTTTTCTACCATTTCCAAGCAATTTCCCAGAATCTCAACATCAAGCAAGCAAGTATGGTCCTCCACATATTAAAACAATGATTATGCAAATCAAAACAACTCTAGAATCATTTTTAAGCGAACTGGCATCAAATATATTGTTATCTAAGCCAACTAAAGTAGTAATCACATCCGGCCTCAAACTAGCACATAAATCTAGTACCGATCATCAAAACATATAATGGACTTTTTATTAAAGCTTTATTCAACTATGTGTACATATTCTTTTCACTCGAATTTTTTTTTTTACTTACCTAGAGGATCAAAGATGGAAGTATGGTGCAATGTGTTGATCTATTAAGCTTTCTAGTGATCTATGAGGTTAAGTGTTAGGTCAATGACTACCAAATCGGACGGTTTTAGGGCATTAGGTGTCTAAACACCCCTAAGGACTTAGAAGCACTACAAGAAAAAAAGGGCTTTTACGAGGGGCCAAAACACCGTGGAAACTTATTCACGGTGCATTCTAGGCCCTCATGTATGAGGGTTCCGTAAATACTCAATTTTTTTTACAGGAAATAAACTATCTCGTAGAAAAATAATATATTCGCCGTAGAAATTAATTTTGTTTATATATTAAATTTATTTACAACATGGATATTTTCCCGTTAATAATTAATTTACGAGGCACCGATGCATGCTGTAGAAAAGTTTTCTACATGAATTGTAACTGTCGTAGAAAAGTTTTCTAGGGCGAATATTAATTACCCGTAAATAATCTCAAGAGACACTGACACATGAACTAGAAAAGTTATCTACGGCGAATTTTAATTACTCGTAAAAAATATAAACCATTCTCACAAGGTGCCATGTATGCCATAGAAAAGTTATTTACAGGGATTTTCACTAATACGACCTTTTATTTACGGGGTTTTAAGCTCCCCGTAAATAAAATATATTTTACAAATAAAACACCCTTAATTAATGTCAGTTAATCAATTATCCACAACCTGTAATTCACATCACTTTCAAATAATTCAATTCAAAAAACATATCCCATTAAACATATTAAAAGAGTTAAAACTTTTCTACAATTCATCATTTATCACTGTGCCAAAACAATTCAACATTTATCAATGTTCCTAAACAGAAAGTAAATCCATTTGTCAAGAAAATCATCAATTTCCTAACACTTCTGTTGAAAAATTGATAAACCTTCTAGCACTCGAGTTTCAGTTTACACTTGTCAAAAAACCACCTCACTGTACAAAAACCAAGGAAGTAGCTGCATCACACAAGTCTCAAATTCAGAATGATAATAAAAAAGGGAAAGAACAAGATTATCATTTATGAATCATACACAAACATTTTGCTAAGAACAAAGTAGAGGAAAGAAAGCCCAATGAGTTTGTTTATTATGTGTGGAAATCAATAAAATATGGTAGTAATCATGTGAAAGCTAACACAATCAAAGCTATAGCAATCATGTGCAAGCTAACATAAATTTTTAAATCATGTGCAATTTCCATTCTTTTTAATTTTTAAAAAAGATTTTGTTCTAAACTGCAGAATCTCAAGGAGTTCGACGAAGATCTTCTGGAAAATGATATAAACATGACAGTTGAACACTTCAAATAGTTTATGAAAAATTAAGCATTCGTTCCGTACGTACGTAATGCTTTTAGAGTCTGTAGGAAGCAAGCTTTTTTTCTTTTTTATTTTGTATGTATCTGGGTTCAGGTTTTGGGGGAAATAAAAAAAGGAAATGAAGGAAAAGCTTAGATATAAATTATTGATTAGAAATTTCTTATTTTCACTTCTACTCATATAAAGTTATTTCAGTTATTTTCTCTCATTATTGCCATATATACTTTTTTTCCCTTTCTTTTCTGTCATTCTAATTATAACATTTCCTTACTCTTCCTTTCTAATTATTCAAGCATAATAAAATTTTAAGCCCATAGAAATTACAAGTTGCAGTAGCCAAATGAAAACCAAACTTCACATCTCATGGTTCATGGACAACGGAGAACATCAACTTTTCTGACTTTCACAATTGTTAGAATGTCAGATTGGATGCAGATTTAGCTTTTCTTATCACATGAACACAACTTTTAACTTTTCTTAATGTGAAATCCTCTTTGTCACATGGCCCCAACATTTCAATAAATTAATTACTCCCATTATATTTTTTTATTTTTTAAACACGAAATTCAATGAATGAAAACCACACTTCATCCGCAACAATTCCCCACCTCCATTTGTGCACAAAAAATTAAGAATGGTTACTTAAAGGCATGTGACCCCGCAAAAATATTATGAGATCCAAATTTCATAATCCAACATGCTAGCTTATAGTTAACTTACAAAATTCCTTTTAGCTTTCTCGTGTGCCCATCCACTTTGTTCCTTAAAATGTGTGTCCTTATACAAGCGAATAGCAGGATCCTCATCCGTTTCACCGTCCTCATCTTCTTGGCTTTGCCAAAGGCCAAAAGTATTTCATCCAGTTCTTGTAAGTGTTATAAATTTGTCCAAATTAGTGTATATTCTAGCAATTGTCCACGAAACAATAGAACCAGAAAAGTAGCAAGTATTATAGTATTGTCTTCTCAAGAAAGTTGAAACCAAATCTAGTGACAGAAGCATTCACTATGAACAAGACAATATATATATTGTTTATGATTTCTACCAGAATCACGTATCATTTTGATTCTTTGAAGGAACAATGTTCTACAAGTGTTGAACATGAAAACTAATATATTTAAGGGCCTGGAGCCTATTTAAAACTTTTTAACATATTTAACAATGTGAGAATAAGAGAGTACAAATAGTGGGAGATGCAAAAACAGATGTAAGAGAGAGCAAAATTGAAATAAGAAGTAAACCACAAAGAGATAGATTAAAAGCAACACAAACTAATAAATCAAAGCAATAGAAATGCAGAAAGCTAGGAATGAGTATTGTTGAAGAAACTAAAGAGATAATTTAGGAAGTACCTTTTCTCTAACTCATGGAATGACAAACATGAAGAGACTAATTAATTGCAGATGTTGTGTTTGAGAGAAAGAGATTGAGGGATTACAGATTCAGATGTAAATGTTAAAGCCTGATTCAAAAGTAAATGAGAAAGATTATAATAAGAGATAAGGAGAAGATTAAAAAAATAAAAAATAAGATGATATTTGAATCATCAAACAAAACCATTGGTGGTGACATTAATATCATTAGCACGGTGAAAAATAACCCCAAGTAATATTATTTATTACCCTTTTAAAACTATGCAAGGTCCAAAAAGTCTAGGATATTATTTATCCTCAAGCAAAATTAATATCCATATTCCAATCTAATAATTAATAGTGTGACTAATGGGACAAATTAATACTATGCTAAACTATTCAACTTCAATACTAGAGAATCTTTTCTAGCTCGACTGTCCAAACTCTCTTCACACTCTCCCATGGATGACATTCAATTAAAAAAAAAAAAAAAAAAAGGATAGTTTGAGTAAATAGGTAAAAAAAAACCAACAAAACAAATCAACTAATTTTAAAAAGTTTTCTTGTTTTTATTAAAGTTTGAGTAAATACGTTAAACAAATTAACTAATTTAGATGATAAAAGTGGAAAACCAAAAAATTCCAAATCTGTTGTATAACATTATAGATTTAGTTAAAGAAAGTCCAATGGAATAAAAAAATAGAAGAAATTAAAAACTTTCATGGATGACCAAATGGTCTGCAAAAGGGATGGTCACAGCAGGGGTTCATTTAAGCAGCAACTATTAGCTGGTTTAGTTGAGAACTTCCAATCACTTTCTGTTCTTTGCTTTAGAGGAAATTGATACTCATCAAATAAAGAAATCTAATATATAAAAGCAGGATGTGCTTGGTTTAGTCCTAATATATGTTACATTTTCTTAACAGTAGATAATACCCTCATAGAAAAAATTTATTCATAAAATTATCCTTATTCCTTTACTTATAAAAAATAAAAATAAATAAATAGGTATCCTTATTCCTTACATCCCACTTACATGAATTGTGGTTTCCTATATTGACTCTCTTGCAACTATTCTATGATTTAACTTGGAAAAAAGGTGAATACATGTTTTGCTCTCTTTCTACTTCCCAAGTAAGTAGTTTCTCTTGGTTTTTTCTGTAAAATTCTCAAAAAATTAGCTACCCCTAGTTGTTTTTTGTCCTTGACTTGATCTTTGTTTCAAATTGTCTTGGAATATAATTACTATCTTATAATGTGAGATAAATTTCAGTAGTATGATATCTGTGATCTAAAAGTTATTTTCATGCTCACATAGATTGTCCATCATTACTATGATAAGTTCATTTCAGTGTTTTCCGTCATCATCCAAGTGATTTTGATATGTTATCCAACTCAAAATAGTTATAGTTTAACACTATCCTCCAAAATTTCATATACAAACATGTTGTCCTCTATTGTGATTGATCCTTGTCATCTATGATTTCCATTAAATCATTCTGGGTCATTGGAGATGCAATGATCTTAGTCTGACCTTTTTGAAGTTAGATAATATGTGTGTGTTTAAATAAAAAGGCCATTAGGCAATATAGTCTCCATTAATCAGGGGTGTTGGAACTGGAAGGGACAAAACTATATTGTGACATAATTTTTGGCATTATTTTTATAAAGTGCTACTATAGGATTGGAACAACCAAAAAGTGGTTGACGACATGGGATTGAATAGTGAGAATGATATAGTATAGTATATTGTATTCTTGTCTTATAGCAGTAGTCAGATATTTGTCAACATGTTCAACTTGTCTAATGATTTTTATTTCTTTTTTCATTTTCATTTTCATTTCATTGTTGATTTAGTTACATGTTCGGTTCAGATATTTCAGTTTATGAAATTAATTAGTTCTTAGTCAACAAATAGCAAATACTTCTCCTCCATAACACAAATCAACCGATAAGAAGCCTCCACATACAATGATCCCATACTCCTATGCTTTTCAACAAATACAAGAAAGTAAATTGCCTCCACACGAGCCGATGACAAACAATGAAATTAAAATGCCTCCACACGGGCCGATGATTTAAAAATTGGTCACTTTAAGGCATGTGACCCCCTAATACACCGCAAAAAGTTTAAAAATTAGTCACTTCAAGGCACGTGACCCCTTTTTTGCAAATTGGAAGCATGAAAACTTACAATCATCTTTGAAGCAGCAACATCAGTAGCATTGCCATCCTTATTTGTATGTGTGTGTATGAATAAATCTGCACGAGAAAGCTGAATACCTTCTTTTTCATCAATCTATAAAAGAAACAAAAACATTGTGATATATATTATTTACCACTAACATTTATAATCATTCAGATCATTTTTTTCTGAGTTTACACATGCATGCATGTATGTATAGCTTATGTGTATTCCTTTATTTCGTAATTAAATTAAAATTTTATGTGTTTTTTGAAGTGATAAAATTGGTGGTATATTTAATAATTTGTGTCAAAATAATGTAGATAAATATTTGTATGCCAAGATATTAGTGTAAAATTATGGTATATTCAATAATTTATGTCAAAATGATGTAGAAAAATATTAGCTTGTCAAGGATTAGTGCAAAATTTAGATCATTTTGCAGTTACCAATATAATACTAGTTAAATTAATTTTTTTATTCTCACAAAGTCATTCTGGTAAGCCAATTCTAGTGAAAAGACTTTTGACATTTGGAAGCCACGCCAAACACTACAGTAGTAAAGAATGAACGGGAATTATAAACATAATATACAAAATATAATATACAAAAATTTCTTATCATGAGTTTTATTCCCAAAAATGCAAGTACAGATGTTCTCAGCAACAATAACACAACATAATTGTCATACCAGATCACTATTAAATAATAATAATTAAAGAAACTAAAGAAATAATAAAAGAGAAGAAACAAGATAAACCTATAAAAATACAGAATACACCCAACTAAACTAAAAGGTCCCTAATACAAAGCTTCCAAATCCTAATGCTGCCAAATGAGGTTTGAATAAACCATCTGCATTGCTAGCAAAATGATACTGGTACTTGGAATTCTCAACAAGCATATATGAGAACACATAGAATTTCACACTATTTCATTCAATCTAAACTAGCCGAATGGAATGCTTTCAAACTCCTTCACGAAGAATAAGGATCTAACTATGTCACCTTCTTAAACTTGACTATAATGGTGTGAGGCCAGCAAAAGAATTAAAATTCTCAATTGGTGTCAATAGGGTTTCATAAAATATTTATAAAAACCACTAGAAAAGATTCAAAATTAATGTTAGACAAAATGATATACATATGTTTTCGTATTTTATTATTAATTATTAAAAGACAAAACAAAACAATCATAGAAAATGTCTAAAATTACAATGTAAAAGTGTCAGATCACAAGTATTCAGCACAACTATCAGACAGGGATAACTGTTAAATATTTGCTCTCATCATTCAAAAAAACTAAATTAAAAGACATCTAGACTATGAAAGCCAAAAACCCTGAGTGAGAAGTTATATACCCCAATCACAATTATAATCCAGTCGATTGTATTATTGTATATATTAAAAATCACATACTTGTAGTTTAATTTTTTGCAAACAGAATTCCTAAAACGCAGGACACATGTATTGTTTAAACCTCAAATACGTCATAGTAGAAAGAAAACACAGAAGCCTCAGACCGTCCTAGTTCAAAATTAAACTTTCAAAATCAGGGCATGAAGAGAAGTCAAATTAAACTTTCAGATCAACAGATTCCCCCCCCCCCCCCTCCCCCCCCTAAAAAAAAAAAAAAAAAAAAAAAATAGAGAAAAGTAAAGAAAAATTTCAAAGTCCAAAACAAAAAAGTTCAAACAATTAAATATAGGAAGTTAGGAGCACACCTTGTTTAGACTTTAGAAAGCTATAAGGAGAAGGCAAGAAGCTATCCAAGGCTTTCGCGATGTCCAGTGGTCGGGGGCAAGGAGCTAGGGCTTTCGCGAAGAGAGTCGTCTGCCGATAATCCTATATTACACAATATTATCACCAGAATAACAACAATCTTAGGTACAGTGATCTACACAGGTAATCAAAATCAGAAGGCGAATAGTTACTAACCTAAAAAAATTCTCATCCGATCTATTAGTGTAGATGAGGTTTTGGAAACCCCCAACGATGACTTTTTCTCTATCTGTGTGTGCAGTAGCGATGACTTTGTCTCTCTAAACCACCGGTGATGGAAGGGCAAGACCGGTGATGGAAGGAGAGAGAGCTGTGATGGAAGGAGATAGTGCAACTGAAGGAGTTAGGGCTATTGCAAAATGAAATGGGAAAGTGGAATACAGTGTTAATTGGCCCCCAAAAATGACGTAGTTTAGAACCCAAATATTACAAATCAATGGAGGGAAAAAAAATGGAGGGAAGAGAAAAAAAAGAAGGGCTATTACTAGCATTCTTAAAAGAGCACTGGTAAAAGCTTATTTACGGGACAAAAAAGGCGCCTTAGAAGTGAAAACTTTTTTTGCCTATTTACAGGGCAAAAAAGGCGCCGTAGATGTGAAATTTATCCACGAGCTCTTTAATACACCGTAAAAGAACTTAAGTTCATTTTTTCTTTATTTCCTGTGTGTATTCTTTAAGTAATTTTATTAATTGTGCCTATTTAATTGGGCGGGCAAGTTTTATTGCTTATTTACATGGAAAAAAAAGGCCTTAAATGCGAAATTTTAGTGCTTTATCAACGAGGAACATTTATCCCGTTAAAGGTGTACAAATATGCCGTAAATGTATCTAAATATTCATGGGCTCTTTAATACACCGTAAAAATATTTTTCTATGACGATTTTATAAAATCCTCGTGAAAGCATGGCCTATAACGTAACAATTATGAGGATTCTTTTAAAAACTCCGTAAATGGTGGTAATCATAAGGCAAAATAAAGAAGCCCCGTAAATACTATGTCATAAAAGCCCACTTTTCTTGTATTCAAATTAACTAGGCTACAAATCAAAACAACCTCCATCTAATCATTTCCACTTCTCACTTTTTGGGAGAAGTCCTCACTTATATTCTCCTTTTTTTTTTTTTTTTTTTTTTTTTTTTTTAAGCCTAGAGTTTGTGCCCTCTACCTTTCAGCGTGAGAAATTTAATGCTTGTTGAGGCTAGAATCCTGGCTACTTAGTGAAAAGAGTTTGTTATCCACCTTTATCAAGAATGAAAACTTTCAATGCACTACTAGCTCAATTAGGATATAATCAAATCAATAGTCAACAAAACATGTACCCCACAAATGAATGCTATTGTGCGCCTGTGCTAGTGTAGAATCCTAGAGTGAATCTCAAAATAATCACAAAATTAGGATGATGTAAACCACAAATGAAGCAAGATATCAATCTTTCTTAAAATTTACTTCTAAATGGCATCCACAAAGCATACAAGGATTTTATGGTATCATGGTCCTTAACATATCAAAATCAAGCAATTTTTAAATTCTAAGTATTATGGTCCTTAAAAGATCAAAATCATCGCTAACAAGGATTTCATATCTTAATCATGCAATTAAAGCTCCAACTTTAAATAGAATGCAACAAAGTCACCTTACCCCCAAACTTAAACTGCACATTGTCCTCAATGTGCAATAAGAACAATGAAAATGATGGAAAGAATATACCGTGGTGGAAAAAAATGAAGCCTGGTAGTGATCCATTGGGAAAAAGTGTACCCCCAAACTTGGAATCAGCAACCTACTTGAATAACCACATTAGCAACTCATATCAAATATCAAATGGGATAAGAATCATACATTTCAAAACAATATAGAAAACAAATCAAATCGATATAAGATGAAACCCTTTGTAAGAATGACATGATGCATAACTATGCAGAAGGTCACAATGGAAAAACAATTTTTTTTTTTTTTTTTTTTGTTTTTAATATGCAAAGAAAAATGCAATTTTATATACAACTTATAAAATGAAAAATTAAATGGCTAAGTTTAACGTCTCCAGTAAGACGGAATGCTACTTTGAAAATTTTTGTTTTTCCCTTTTTTTTTATTATTTTATTTATTTCTGAATTTATAAATGCATAAATGTAAAAATAGAATAAAATAAATGTTTTTTATTTTTATTTTTTTTACATGGAACGAAGTAGGATCTTAGAACAACTAGTGTTTAACGTCACTAGAAAGACGTGAAATACTCTCAATCTTAAAAGTAAATGCGCCAAGAGAGCGGATTCCACATTTTGTTGAAGAGCGTGGCCATCAATGTATGGTTTAAGCCTTTTGACCATTAAACTCGAAGGTCCCTTCATTTTTTAGATTTTGAAGTTCAATCGCCCCATGAGGTGAGACGGAGATGATCAGATAAGGGCCTTCCTATTTGGTTCTAAGCTTTCTAGGAAAAAATTTGAGTCTTGAATTGTAAAGCCATGCTTTTTGCCTAGGCTCAAAGGACTTTTTCACAATATGTTTATCATGAAATGCTTTAGTCCTTGCCTTGTAAATTTTTGAACTATTATAGGCATTATTTCTCAATTCCTCTAGCTCATTAAGTTGGAGCAAACGGTTCTTTCTAGCCTTATCAAGATCAAAGTTGAGCCTTTTTATTGCCCAAAGTGCTTTATGTTCTAACTCAACCGAAAGGTGACATGGCTTCCCATAACAAGTCTATATGGAGACATGCCTATTGGAGTCTTGTAAGTCGTCCGATAAGCCCACAAAGCATCATTCAGTTTCCTTGACGAATCTTTTTGGGTCGGATTGACAGTTTCTTAATAATGTGCTTAATTTCCCTATTTGACACCTCGACTTGCCCACTTGTTTGGGGATAGTAGGGAGTGGCCACTTTATGTGTGACAGAGTATTTAAAAAAGAGTTGCTTCAAGAATTGATTGCAGAAATATTTTCCTCCATCACTTATCATAGCCCTTGGCATACCAAAATAAGCAAAAATATTTGATTTGACAAATGAAATTACCACGGAGTGGTCATTCGTTTTGGTAGCACAAGCCTCAACCTACTTTAAAACATAGTCAACAGCATCAAGGATATATTGAAAGCCATAAGACATTGGGAATGGTCCCATAAAATCTATGCCCCATACATTAAAGATTTCAACCAAGTTAAGGGCATCATGTCTCTCTTTGACATTGATTCTAACTTTTGGCACCGAACACACAGCTTGCAAAAGTTATAGGCATCTCGGTGGATAGTAGGCCACAAGAGCTCACTTTGAAGAACCTTCAAAGTGGTTTTTTTTTTCCACTAAAATGCCCCCCATAAGCAAGTGTGTGACAAAACACAAGGATGCTCGGAACTTCCTTTTTGGCACACATCTCCTTATGACTTGATCTGAGCAATAACAAAACAGAATGGGATATTCCCAATAGTATTTTCGGATGTTAGCAAAGAATCGGTCCTTTTCTTGTTTTGACTAATTAATGGGAAGTTTGCTGATTACAAGATAGTTAACAATGTTAGCAAACTAAGGCAATGTCCCATTTGAGATTTGAAAGAGTAGTTCATCTAGAAATGATTCATGAATTGGAAGATTTTGAGAAGATTCAACCATTAATCTAGAAAAATGATCGGCAACGACATTGTTAGAGCCCTTTTTGTCCTTGATTCAAAAGTCAAATTCTTGAAGAAGTAGGATCCATCTTATCAAATGAGGCTTGGTTTCTTTTTTCATTAAAAGATGCCTAAGAGCGGCATGATCGAAAAACACAATGACTTTGGATCTTAAGAGATATGACCGAAACTTATCAAAGGTATATACTACGGCAAACAATTCTTTCTTGGTGGTAGAATAGTTCAATTGGGCACCTGAGAAAGTTTTACCCGCATAGTATATAACACATGGTAGCTTACCTACCCATTGCCCTAAAATAGCACCCATTGCGAAGACTCCAACTCCATGAACGCAGAATTTTGCCTCCTTCTTCTTCCTCCCCCTTTCTCCATATTTCTCCCTCTATCCTTCACCCCTATTAATATAGGAAGGGAGTTAGCCTTTCACGTGCAATGTGTAAGCCTCCATTGATGATGAAGACTCCATCTCCATGAGCTTAGAATTTTTTTTCCTTCTTCTTCATCACCCTTTTTCAATATATCTCTCTCTGTCCTTCACCCCTATTTAAAAAAAAAAAATTGATGCGAATAATTTATTTACCAATTAAAATTACCACTTGCAATAGCACATATCAATGTAGAATAGGGCTATTATAAGGGTTTGTCGAACCACAATGAATAACAATCAAGATTGTAAGATTAATTTCTGGTTTTATTTGTGAAATATAGTTGATGGATTGTTTTGTTTATCACATACATAAATTGAATTTAACTAAAATTACTAAAACAAAATTTTGATTGCAAATAAATGAGATAATAAATATAAGGGCTAAGGGAATGACTTTACACAAGCCATGTAAATATGCCTAATTGCAAATAACTTGGGGAACAACTTATATATGTAACCATGATATGTAGAAATGCAAGACAACTAAAATATCTTCTAGAAAATCATACATTTCAGGACTAAGCATAACCCATCTTTGGTTGGCATGGTTCATCCACCTAAACTAGGTTGTGGTATGAACCATCTTCCCTAGGCATAGCCTATCAAGGACATTCAATTGTATGTTGCAGCACATGAAATCAATTATCTATCATAAATTATCTTCAGTTGGTATGGACCATCTACCTAACTAAATTAATCTAAAGGTATAGCATGGTCCATCTTCCTTAAGTATAACTTATATAAATTCTCAATTAACATGCCAATATAACCATTGCATAATCTCAACCTTATTGTCACTCTAAGAATGTAAGTAGCATTATTATGAAGAAATAATTTCTAAGATAAGATAAGAGTCACAACAAGATTATATATAGAATAAAGCACAAATACATCAAAGTGTAATCTCTAGATTATACAACTTGTCACAAATATGCAAAGTTCCCCAAATTTAGATACAATCAAGATATAATTACTTGGCAAGGGTTACATCAAATTCTTAAGAAGGGAGTTAACCTCTCATGTGTAAGGTGTAAGCCTCCATTAATGATGAAGACTCCATCTTATGAGCTCAGAATTCTGCCTTCTTTTTCTTCCTCCCCCTTTATCCATATTTCTATCTTTTTCCGTCACCCCTATTCAAACTTAGCGATAGATAATGATGGATGGTTGATATATAAATAGAAAATGCCCTCCAAAGAGATCATATTTAATAGCCTTTTAAATTCTTAAAGAGTTGGAGACATCCCTAAAATCAAGGAAATAAACTTTGACTAAATCAAAGTGTGACAACTCAACATGTTGGCAGAATCAACATATTATTCT